GTTGGTGCCCTGCTGGACCCTCCTCCGGAGTGGGGTTCCAGGGTGGTGGCGCTGCAGCCATAGCTGCAGCTTCTTCCTCGGAGGTCATCTTGTCAGGGTTTGGTGGCGCTGCTGCAGACTTCCACCCGGGAAGTCTTCCGACACTTCGTCATCATCAGATACTGTGGCGCTAGCCTTCTTCTTCATCCTCTTAGTGGCGCTTGGCCTCAGAGGCCTGGTTCAGGGTGGCGCTTCCCTTTGGAGACTGTATCTGGGTGGCGCTTGATGTTTCAAGGGCTCAGGGGTGTTATGAGTGGCTAATCAGGGTTGGGGAGTGAAGCGCTGCTCAATTATGAGCAGCGCACTGCAGTACTGAAGCTATCCTGACAATTCGATCTCTGAGTTTAATAAACAGTGTGGAACTGGGTTTGGACTATCATCGTTTCAATGTTTCCTGGATGTGATCTGCTCGGCTTTTCTTTATGACTGGTTGTGAGGATTGAGCAGAGTGAATTGCACTTTCAGTGTACCTTGTCATATCGCATGGTCCAGTCTTCCGATGTGTTTCTCTCTCCCTAGGCGGTGTGATACTCCTATCCTCTCCCCTTCCTTCTGTGTATGTATGGGCATACTTGGAAGTCTATGGGAGTGAGTGTTGCTCTTCAGACAGCAAACAACCAGAATCATAACACACTGCTGATTTCTGAGTTTTGCCAAATGAATGTATGCCTTGCTGTGCTTGCTGGTCCGCATGTCTGTCTGAGTGCTTGTCGGTTTGCATGTGTGTGTGACCCGCAAGGGAACTCGTCCATCAGGGAGGTCCGAAGGGCCGGTATTTACTGGTGGCCGTGACATTTAGGGTTGCAGCGGGGAAACACTCAAGTAACAGGAAGGCCAGTACCACACCAGGTAGAGGCAGATGTGCCGGATACTCGAGGCCGGGCAGAAGAAGACAAAAGTTGGCATTTTTTTATGCCCAGTAGCTGTAGGCTGCATCTAGGCGGGTACCAGTCCAACCAGTCTGAGTCCAGGGCCTGTACGAGCAATATTAGAGTCTGCAATGATGTTTAGGTACCGGTTGCTCAGAGGCCGCACAGCCTGGAAGTCACCAACCAAGAGGCAAGCAGGCCGCTATATCTCCTGGAGGAGCAAAGAGGTCCTCCTCATTCCTCGGTGTGCAAGTTTGGCGACACACTGCTTGAAGCGGTGACTGGAGCAGTGCTCCTAGTGAAACGGTTTTCACCTTTTGCAGTCACAGATGCGGGCCCTAGAGTTTGATCCCCAGATCTTACCTTACCCATGTACAGTATCGAGTCGCCCCCTGAGTGTTTGAACCCGCGACCTGTGTTTCGGTAGTTGGTTGTGGTCTGTCGTAGGTCTGTGTAGTGGTAGGGGTTCGATCTGTAGGTCTGTCGCGTAGGGGTCACAGTTCTGTAGGGCTCGTAGTTGTAGCTGTTCTGAGAGGTTGAGGTCGTAGCTGCTACAGTCCTGAAAGGTCAAGGTTGTAGCTGCTACAGTACTCGAAAGGCCAAGTCCACAGACTTCCAGAAGGTCCGGAAGTGGCCTTTCAAGTTTCTTCTAACGTTTTGCACAGCAGGCCAGAGGCAAGTGGGCAAGTGGTGAGTCCAACTTCGCTTAGTCAGTGGTACCCAGTCCCAGTCTCACTTTGCACCGTCAGCAAGTACCATGAGGGACTGTGTGCACCTTGGGGCCCGGTGGAAAAGGGCAGACCAACGACTTACAGAAGCATAAATCAAGAGGCAGCGCCCAACCATCATTCATTCGCTGAGTAAGCCATGCGGAAGTGCTGCTACAGCGTCTTCTGCGAGGTGGTCTGCAGGTCGCCCAAAGTCGAAGTGGGCTGAAGGAAGACAACGTAGCCATAGTCAGTAGTAGTAGAGCGGCCATAGCCGCTGTAGGAGGAAGATAGGCTGAAGTATGTGTGTGTAAGAGAAGGAAGCGTGTGGAGTATTCAGCATGATCCAGAGTCGAGTATGTGCGAACGGTGGTGTTGGACACAGTGACGAGAGTTGGATGTGCAGGTGCCGAAGCGC